GATCCACTTTCACAACTCTCCTCAGGGTTATCTCAACTCCCTAGGACTCTGCTATAATTTAGTCCGCAAGAAACGTGATTTCCTTTCTCTCGCACAAAATTTCACAGTGGACTATCACATTGATGACATTAATCTGATTGGACCTAGTAAGGTCAATGACTGTAGGCCCATTAGTAAAAAACATTTGTGTGCTAGACTGGGGGAAATTAACCTGACAAAAATTCAGATGCCTTCCACCTCAGTGAAATTTCTAAGATTCCAGTGCTGGGAGACATGTATAGATAAGGTGAGCAGCAACTTATCTTATTGTGTGTGGCTTCTCCCACAACGAAAAGGGAGGGACAATGCCTGGTGGGTCTCTGGGTTTTGAAAGCAACACATCCCTCATTTGACTGTACTCTTATGACCCATAAATCAAGTGACTCAAAAAGCCACCGACTTTGAGTGGGAATCAGAACAAGAAACCGCTCTGCAATAGGTTCTGGCTGCCATGCAAGCTTTTTTTGTTACTTGGGTCATACGATCCAGCTGATGCAATGGTACTTGAAGTGTCAGTGATAGCGAGAGATGCAGTTTGATGCTTTGGCGAGCCCCTGTTATTGAATCACAGCACACACCCTTTGGATTTTGGACCAAGCGCTGTCATTTTCTGTAGACAACTACTCTCCCTTTAAAAACCACTTTTAGCCTGTTACTGGGCCTTGTGGAGACTGACTGCTTCACCCTGGGCCACCAAGTGCCGGAGCTGCCCATCCTTAACTGGGTGTTGTCTGACCCACAGAGTCATAAAGTGGAACGTGCAGAGCCACAGTCCATAATTAAATGGAAATGGTACATACATGATCGGGCTACTGTAGGACCGGAAGCGAACTTTATGTAGCAAACTACATAAGGAAGAGGCCCCAATGCCTCTAGTCTCCTCTCCTGCCACAGTGTCATCTTTTTCCCACCTGCGCCTAAGGACTTGTGGGAAGTTCCTTATGAGCAATTGACTGAAGAACAGAAATCTTATGCTTGGTTTACTGACAGTTCTGCACAATGCGACTCAAAAGGGGACAGTAGCAGTGCTAAAATCCCTTTCGGGGACTTCCCTGAAGGACAGCAGGGATATGAAATCCTCCAAGTAAGCAGAACTTCAAGTGGTACACTTGGTTGTTCAGTTTTCTTGGAGGAAAAATGGCCAAATGTGGGACTGTATATTGATCCTTGGGTGGTGGCCAGTCGTTTGACGGGATGGTTAAGGACTTGGAAAGAGTCTGACTGGAAAATTGGTGACAAGGAGGCGTGAGGACGAGTATGTGACTAGACTTCTCTAAATGGCCCAAAAAATGGAAGATAGCTGTAGTTCACGTGAATGCTCACCAAAGGGTTACTGCTGCAGAGGTTGACTTTAAGCAAGTGGATAGAACGATACATGCTGTGGAAACAAGTTTTCCTCCTTCCCCAGCTCCTCCTGTCCTTAGCCAATGGGTACAAGAACAAATTGTTCTTGGTGGCAGGAATGGAGGCTCTGCATGGGCTCAGCAACATGAACTTCCACTCACCTAAGCTGACTTCCCCTGCCACTGCTGAGGGCCTAATCTGCGAGCCGCAGAGTGTTGTGGGCTCAAATACATGACAGACACTCTACTGTCTGGATAATTTACAAGAGTCTTTATTCAGTTCTAACCAGACTGCTAGAATCTTCTTTGATTGTAGTCCCGAGCAGACATTTCAATCCATTTGAAATGGAGGCAAAAACTCATTTATCATTTGTCTAGGACTTAAGCAAGCGTGGACAGAAGCAGAAAGCAAACATTACAATTCTTTAGAGTTAGTGCACGTTTGGGGTACAGTATTAATTATAACATCCTGGTTAATAAAATAAAAAATAGTACTATCCTGGTTACAACATCAAAAGGAACAATATTATTCATTCCAATGCTCTGATCTCAAGAACAGAACAGTATATTTTAAAATCAATCATTAGTGGGACTTTCCAAGATGGGAGGGGGAAGTAGAAGGTCATTCAGCAGTCAACAGAGGGTAGGGCTAGCCGGTCTCAAGAGAAGACCCTGAATCCAAGATATGGGACCAAGCCTTGGGTGTATCAACCAACAACCCGGTGGCAATTTGACTACATCGGACTAATTCCTTCATGGAAAAGGCAACATTTTGTTCTTAATGGACTGTGCAATAATTCTGAATACAGATTTGCTTTCCCTGCACACAATGCTTCTGCCCAAACCACCAGTCATGGACTTACAGAATGTCTCAACCACCACCGTAATATTCCACATAGCATCAGTTTCTTAGGTCAACTTCTCAGTTCAAGGTACTCACTTGTCACAGCAAACCAAGTGCGACCATGGGCCCATGCGCCTGCAATCCATTGATCCTCCTACGTTCCCCATTATCATGAAGCAGCTGGTTTGATAGAATGACGGAACGGACTTCTGAAGACAATTATGGCACATGCTTGGCGGCAATATCTTGCAGTATTGGAGCAATGTGCTCCAGGAGCCTGGATCTGCTCTAAACCACCTGCCTCTGATAGGTGGTGCAGTTTCTCCGGTAGCCAGGAGTCACGTGTCTAGGAAACCAGGGGTGGGAATGAGAGCAGCATCACTCACTAATACTCCTCATGATCCACTCACCACATGTTTGTTTCTTGCCCCCGCATCCCTATACTCTTCTCATCTGGAGGTCTTAGTTCCAAAGGAAGGAATACTCTCACCCGGAGACACAGCACTGATTCCATTGAACTGGAAGCTAAGAATACCTTTCGGCCACTTTGTATTCCCCCTACCTCTAGATCAAGAGACAAAAAAAGGGTATTACTGTATCAATTGGTGTGACTGATCCTGATTACCAAGGGGAAATTGGATTAGTATTGCACAATGAAGGTGAAGGAGAATATTCGCCTATCTGGAATCTTTGCGATTCCTTATGTCGTCTCTGAGTACTACCATGGCCTGTGTTAAGTCTATGGTAAACTATAGCACCGCCATTCTGACATGACTACGAATAGGCCAGACTTTTTAGGAATGAGGGTTTAGGCCACCCCACCAGGCACAGAACCACAACCAAACCAAGTACTCACTGAGGGTAAAGGAAATCCAGAATGGGTAGAGGAAGAAGGTAGTTCTAAATACCAGCTGTGGTCCTGTGATCAGCTGCAGAAATGAGGGCTGTCATTGTTATGAGTAATTTCGATTTGTATGTAGGCATCAGCTATTTTGTTTAGTTCCTTTATAAAATATAAGCTGAACATTGGATTAGTGTGTTTACAGTTGTACGCGTGTTAGTGTGCCATGTTAGGGGCAAGTATGATTTTATTATTGTGTTTGACGACAATTATGCATGGTTAAAGAGTTGTGTACAAGTGTCAAACTGACAAGAGGTGGTCTGTGATGTCAACTAGACACTCCAGGGTGAGGGTAGGGGTGGAGGCCAGGCTATCAATCAGGTTTCAGCCTGATGATATCTCCTGAGGGTGTGGCCTTTTGTATAAGACAGAGACCAAACAGAGCTGAGTTCTCTTTGACCCTTCACCTTCTGCTGGGATCTAGATCCTACACCTGGTTTGTCATTCTCCTGCTGTGTCACCAGCTGATCCCAAGGGCCACCAGCAGATTGCCCCCCGTGGATTCACTTGTCTGACATTGGATTCATTTACCTCTGCATCCACCAGCTTGCGCCGACCCTTATTTCCCCAGCCCCCACCCCTGCCACCTGCTCCATCATCCCGCTTCTTGTTTGTCAGCTTCCACAGCTACCTGAGTCAAGAGAAGCCTGATTTGAACCAGATTGGACTTATCTTCTTCTGCAGCTGTGTAAGCTATTTCTTGATATAAATCTCTTTATATACAAACACATACAAGCACCACCCAGTTTTTCTTCTCTAGAGAATCCAACCTAATACATTGGGGTTGAGCAAACCAACCTGCACTCAAATCTTAGGTCAATTTCTCAGCTGGGAATGAGTTCCTAGACAAGACACAGATTAAAAATTCCAAATGCAGACGCCCCTTAACACAGTTATAAATTGTCAGAGTTTCAAAGAAAAGCTCTTCATTTTCATACCAGAGTTCAGAGAAAGATGAGAGTCATTTCACCTCTGTAATAAACAAATCTCATTGAACTGAGTGTGGAGCCTTTTCAGGGTTTTGGTTCTGTATTAGGAATCTCATTCCAATTCCCTGCATGACCTGGGCTTCATCCCCAGTCCTACACAAGTCTAGATCCTAAGTCCCCGAAACACTGAAATTGATATAGTTAACACCCAATCCCAGGACCACCAGAGTTAGCCGAGGTGTCTTGACTTTCCCTTTCATTCATAGAACTAACTCTTACTATCCTTACAGTTACCTTTAAGAGGAGATTTACTGTATTATATCTAATATACATAAAACCCCAAACCAAATCCACTACCATCAACTCAATTGCAACTCATAGTGACCCTACAGGACAGAGTAGAATTGATTCTTAGCATTCTTGAGACTATCAATCTTGATGGGAGCACACGGCCTGAACTTTCTCTGACAGAATTGCAGTTAGCAGCCCCATATGTAACCCACACTTCCACCAGGGCTTCTTTCTAGTCTATGTAGATGTTCATAATAGGTGACTCTTTTCCCCAGGCGTTTTCAGTCACTGGAAGCTTCCAAATACTGATTCCCGGAGAGAAGCAGTAGGGCAACCATAGTAACAACAACAACAAACCTGAGTAACTTACCATACAGATGAGATCTCTCATTTCAGAAACACAAAATTCAGCCCCACGGTACCGTGACCTTCCCAAGGCTACGAGGTTACTGATAGAGCCGGGATGAACAGTCCGGTCTCTTGAACTCCACTTTTCTCACCAAACCGAATTGCCTCCTCATTCTTTTTAAAACGAGAGAATCGAGGTGTATCATTTGAGACAATGCACCCTTCTTTCTCTGTGTTTGCTTCCTTATGCGTCTTCGTTTTTTCCCCAGTAGGTAAACACTCGCCCCTGGGAGAAGAAAGCCGAAATGTCTACTGCAGCTGATACTAACATTACGGAAGGAGATATTTCCAATGATGGTAATTTACACATGGCTCAATCTCAACACTCCAGGAAAGGTAAAGCCGTGTTCCAGTGTCTTGTCCTGAATCACACTGGGCTCTAGTTGACTTTGACTACCCTCTATTTGACTTTGACTGCCCTCTAGTTGACCTTGACTGCCCTCTATTTGACTTTGACTACCCTCTATTTGACTTTGACGGCCCTCTTGGTATTAGACAACATCCTTCTGCTGTCACTGTTGCCCAGAATTCTATAAAGCTATAAATGATATAAAGCACATCAAGCAATTCATTGAGGATGGTGTCATTATTAAGACTAAGCAGAGAACCTTCCAAAGTGATCAACAGAAATTAGATGAGCTTCGATGAGATTTTCAGTCCTTAGCACAGTCCCAGGAGGTAGGCACATTATTATCCCGATTGCCCAGATAAAATACTGAGACCACAGACACCCAAGGATAGATAGCTGTAGGTAGAACAGCTGGGATTGGCATCTAGACATCTGGCACCAGGACTAAAATGCATTTGTAAAAATTATATATTACCATTAAGATATGAAGAATAACAATAGTCCATGGCTATACAGTCTATTCCAACTCATAGACCCCCTATATAAGGTTTCCAAGTCTTTGTAAATCTTTAGAGGGACAAACAGCCTAATTCTTCTTCTGAGTCGTAGTAGCCAGGGGGTTTGAACCACCAACCTTGTGGTTAACAATCCCACATTTACCTGACAGTGTCATAGGGGCTCACTAGAGAGAGCAATAGAAGAGCTTAATATGGTTGACGTACATTTTGACACATCAGTAAACACCAGCATCATTAACAGTAGAAGGTGGGAAGCATTTCCAGTCAATTCAGTTATGATACTCTCACCACTCCCGTTTAACATTCTTTTGAAAATGCCAGTGCATAAAATTACCCCCAAGTAATAAAATCAATGTTCCATATAGCAAAATGATCAGTTACCTTCTTTCTGTGCAAAGAGCAACTTTTTAGTCAAAACTCAAGTGATTCAAAAAACCAAACTAATGAAAACGATAGGTAAAAGCTCAGTTATAGAAATAAGACCGAGACTATAAAAAGAATGTGAAGCCTAACAGAAGGTAAGTATACAATTATTTTTGATGCAGAAAAGTCTGGCATCCATTAGGAAACTTCCCTGTTCTTGGCTTCAAAGAAGCCACACTTCATATTGTCTTCTTCTTGAATCTGCCGTAATTGCAACAGGAAACGGGGCTGGCCATACACTGGGAGTGTGCTTCCTGGCAAAACAAGCCACACTCCCCGCCATCCGGTCAATTCGACTCATCGTGACCCTATGGGGGCAGGGCGGAACTGCCCCTGTACGTTTCTAAGACTGTAACTCTTTAGAAGGCCTCAGCTGTCGCCCAGGGAGCAGCTGGTGGGTTTGAACTGTTAACTTTGTGGTTAGCAGCCCAATACGTCGCCCACTCCACCACCAGGGCTGCTGCTGCTTCCTGGCAGCAGCCAGGAAATTGTGTTCCCATGTACCTTGAGCACATGGAAGCCTGACCAAGCCTGGGTTTTGTGCAAGTCTAGATGACAGTATCCCGATGAAGTTTAAATATGTTCATATCAAGCCCTAGACGAATCTTTCCTCACACTTGCTCTTATTAGCACCCCTTAAGAAAACGATTCTCTACTTGAGGTCTATCCTCCCTCACCTGTCAGGGGAATAGGTGGCCACTAAGCACCTGTAGAGCCGCTTCAGCTCCTGTGTTTCCAATACCCAGCTTGTAGTTTTCCTCGCTGAGGTTTAGGTCGGCAAGGAGGGAAGCATCCTCATTCTAAGACTCATTGTGTCCTCCTCTCTCAGCCTTCTGTTCAGTGCGCCATAGCCTGGCCTTCACCTTGCAACTCTGCAATTTTGCAATTTTCACGCAACAAATGAACATGAGCATTGCCATGCCAGCTATGGTGAGCGGCGTGGCTCTCACCAACCATTCTAACACCTCCACGGAAAGGCCCCTGACTGGAGCCCAGGCCTATGGGAATGGAACTCTGGAGAAAGTTATGGCTGTGGTAAGTGCAATGAGACGCTGAGCTCTTTCTTTCTCTAAATTGAGGTGGCAGAATGGGCTCTTATCAAAAGATGTGGCATATTGGAGGGATTGAGTTCTGATTCAATTAATCAGAAACTACTTCGTAAAAATCTGTGACTCAGGGACACATACTGTGTCTCTGATTATGAAATAATAATTAATCATCATCATCATAATAACTCACTGTTATTGAGTTGATGCCAACTCATGGCCACCCGATATATGTATCTAAGGAGAAGTGATATCCTTACTTAGTGTCCATGAATGTGGCTAAAATGACATTAGGATAAAAGAAATCAATATTAAAACTTAAAGGGAACTACAGATACAGATAGATATGAAGCAAGATATGACAAAATACCCATTTATAAACTATCAAGGGCTCATGAGGGAGGGGAGAACAGGGAGGGAGGGGAAAAATGAGGACCTAATGTCGGGGGTTTAAGTGGAGAGAAAATGTTTTGAGAATGATGTACGAATGCGCTTTACACAATTGATGTGTGTATGGATTGCGATAACAGTTGTATGAGCCCCTAATAAAATGTTAAAAAAAAAAAAAGATAGATATGAAGAGAGCGCGTCCTGGCGTGAAATGGTTAAACGTTCAGGTGCAAGCTGAACGGAGGTTGGTGATTGGAACCCGTGACCCTTGGGAGAAAAAACCTGACAGGCATCTCCCATAAGGATTACAGCCTAGGAAACGCGGCAGGGCAGTCCGCCTCTGTCGCCTACAGCTTCTGTGGATTCGAGTCCACTTAACAGCCCCCTCGATGAGGGGGCAAAGGTTGCGGGGATTTTCATTATCTTTTCATTCCATTTCCCATAGCTTTTTAGAACACTGTGCCTATCCATCATCTTTTGCAATGATACATATTCACATACAAGTGACTGACATTTATTTCTGCTTTCTCTTCCACCTTTTTATCACCTTGCGCATGATTGTTTCTGTTGATGGGATTTATACACAGGCCCTCCTGTGCTTTATATGAGGGGTTAGCTTGGTCCAACGAAAGGGGGAAAGCAGGTCTTGGGCACATATTTAGGTCCCTTCCTGACATTCGTGTGCTGGAGTAATTGGAGAGAGGTAAAACGAAGAAGACTTCTCTCTTATGTTTGGCCATTCAGCCTTCACAATAAATGCTACCGACACTCTAATGAAAGACAAAGAAACATGCGATTCTCTTTGTCCTTTAGGCCCCTGTGTATGACTGGAGTCCTGAAATCCAGGGAATTATCCTCAGCTCCCTCAACTATGGCTCCTTCTTTGCTCCCATCCCAACCGGCTATCTTGTTGGAATATTTGGAGCCAAGCGCATCGTTGGTGCTGGCCTGTTCACCTCTTCAGTCCTGTCCCTCTTTATTCCGCTGGTGGCTGGTACCGGAGTGACGTGGCTCATTCTCATTCGGATTGTCCAAGGCTTGGCACAGGTACTCTGAGGAGTTCTTTGTGTAAGGGGATCCAAAATACAGTGAACCCTCGTTTATCGCGGTTCATCGGTTCTAGACCCTACCGTGATAAATGAAATTCCGCGAAGTAGGATTCCTTATTTGTAAATCAAATATTTTCGCAGTTAGAGCATAGAGGACATGAAAAAACACCCTTTAGTCACCATGACACTCGTATTACCCAATTTATTAAACGAAAAAGGGAAAATACAGTAAAACATTTTGGACGTTACAATGATCATTTATTATTTATTATATTATTTATGGCATCAAGCGTGTACAGTATGAGCCAATCAGTGGCAGTAATGACAGAGCATGCGCTGTTACGCAAAAACCGCGATAGAGTGAAGCCGCGGAAGTCAAAGCGCGAAGTGGCGAGGGTTCACTGTAGACCCAGACGAATCTTTCTAAGAAGGAATCTTTCCTGCCCCCTCCAGGTTGTGGTATCAACAGGTCAATTTTCGCTTTGGGTAAAATGGGCCCCCCCAACAGAGAAAGCGCAACTCACCAGCATTGCTACATCAGGTAAACGATACCTTCAGAATCCTAACTGTTCTCGAATACTCTCGGATCATGTCAAGAAATGAACTCTTATACCTCCCTACTTTCTCTTCTCAACCTCTAACTTCTACTAGCCGTTTTGGCCAAATGCTAACTGGATGTAAGACCTCTGTTTATACATATATCACCTAGATATCAATTACATATCATACGCTTGACACATGTTACTTGGATTTAGCACCAGAACCATCTTATGAGTCAGTTACCCATAATTATTTTCACTTCACATTTTTAAAAAGAAATGGTTTTATTGGGGGCCTTTAATCATTTCACACGGAAGGAAATTAAAAATCAAAGAAACCAATGCTTTGTCCAAGATCACAGAATTCCTGAATGAAGGAGAAGGATTTGAACATAAGTAGTCTGGACCAATGCTCATACAGCTTTGTGAAAGGGGTCAATCGATAGGATGCGCAGAGTCCCAAGCCTTGATATCTCACCCAGAAGATGTCTATTTCTTGTGTTCAGGGATAATGCTGGGATGCTTCGTCGTTTTTGCTGCAGGGGGTCACATCTGCCAGACCGTGGGATGGCCGTATATCTTCTATATCTTTGGTGAGCTTTGCTTTTATAATCGCAGTTTTATTTGGTGATAGAGAATGCTGGGAATGCTTTTTCAAATTGTATTTTATGGCAGTTAGCCATAGTTAGCCAAATTCTATTAGGTATTTATATAACTAATACTGATACGGATTATGAGGGGAAGGTTGCTGACGTCAAAAATGATAAATGCAGCAGGCTGAGTACCTAGCTAGATTATGATTTTAGGGGCTTTACAACATTAAGGTGACCAGATTTTAACATTGGTAAAGCGGGACACCATTGATAAAACTCGTATCCTGGCGAAATAGCCACATGGCAGCCGAAAACCGTCTACCCTAGCTTGTCGTGCATTCTTTCCAAAAATGGGGACTTTTTTAAAACGCCGCGGGATGCGGGGGAAAAATTGTTAAAAATTGGGATTGTCCTGCCAAAAGCAGGATGTCTGGTCACCTTATTCTAAATTGATGAACCCACAAGAATTCAGTGTCATTTCTTTCATAAAGTGTGGAAAATGCTACCTTGGAGGGATTAAAATGTAAATCATATGCTAGTTCATGTAAATGTTCCTTTTAAAAATGCCAATTTGGTGACAGCTAGAACAGAGTAGAATTGAGACCATATTAGCAATAAGATACGGATTGTAGATAATGGAGAATAAAGCAATAGAGGCTAGCGTATAAGTCAGGCCCATGTAAGGCCCAGGGAGATGCTGCAAAAATATTCAAAAGCCAACTGAAGTGTTTCTGAGGCAGTATTCTACTTCACCCGCTTCACTTTAATCCAGGCCTTGTGGGATCCTCCCAGATGCTCGCAGCTGTGGTTGGTGAAACATTCTCTGTTGGAGATCCCCTCTAGAAATTGCCCGATGTCTTACAGTCCCGGTGATGTTCTCATTATCGACTAATCCATCGAGATCTTGTGTTGTCGTCCTGGAACATAGATCAACACATTTTGTCAGAAGAAAAAAAATGTGAACTGTGATTGCTAAAATACAGTCAACTTCATGATCTCTGTCACATACAATCAAAAGGGCACGTGACCAATTGTTATTGGTGACCTGAACAACCTACTGCGCTCTGGGTTTGAGAAACAGGGAGCAACATACAACTCAAAGACTAGAACTCTTAGCATTTCTCAAAATCATACAAAGGGAATGTGAAGATCAGCTAGAGTTTCAGTTCATCCCGACAATGTTGAGGTTCTCAACACCATCCTAATGTACACCCTCTCTGAGTTGATTTCAACTCATCATGACCCAATAGGACAGGGCAGAACTTCTCCTGTGGGTTCCAAGATGGTAACTGTTTACAGAAGTAAAAAGCCTTGCCTTTCTCACAAGGAATGACTGCTTCTCAATGTGCAACCACTACACCACCAGGGCTCTGGTCATAATATATGTGAAGCCAAATTCACTGCCATCAAGTTGATACCAACTCATAGTGACTTTATACCATAGGCTAGTACTTCTCCCCGTGAATTTCTGAGACTAATTCTTTATGGAAGTAGAAAGTCCTGTCTTTCGATAATGTCTAGAAATTATCTGGGCAATCAATTGCTCATAAAAATGTGCTACTAAATGCGTTGGTTCTTTGAGCAAGGTAAAAAGAGCATAATGGAAAATTTCATTATAAAAGGGATTCCATTAAAACACAAATGAGAGGAGAGATGCTAGCTTGTCCTTAAAAACAACAACAACAAGATTTAAAAAAAAAAGCGAGGACATTTGTGATCATGGAGGTAACAACACCTTGTAATAGCCCAGATAATTGTGGATTTCCAAACCTACCCACAGCTAGTGGTGTGACCCAGCACTCACAATTCCACTGGGACATCTGGGCACTCCTGCAACAAGTCTCATTTTCTTTAGCCAGTAGCTTAAACGCAATATGCTCTTCCCATGAAAATGACCAAGACCCATGAATGAAGCCAAGCCCAAGCACACACAAGTCTGGGATTTCAATGCCTCTACCTCTTTGTCAAAAGCAAGTTACATGGTTAAGGCAAAGGCAAGGCATGGGGAACTACCCTCCACTTCTGTTAGGGTCT